TGCTAAGCGGTTGGAGTCAATATGAGAGCGGAGAAAGGTCGCGCCGCTACCGTAACCCCACGCTCGACCATAGAATGCAAACAGAACGAGTGACGATGTTGCAAAAGGGCGTGGTCAGAGTTTGTCATCAACAAAACTGCCGTTCAGAATAAGATTTCCGCTTTCTACAGGTGAGCCAACATGGTGTCCCAAAAGTCGCACATGACTCAATGGTTACATCGGCTGCACATAGGAAATAACACACACCAAATTGTTTTGGAAATTACTTCCTCCCTCCCCCCCTTCCCTCTTTCCTCCCTCTTCTGAGATTCCAAAATTTGTGACATTTTCAGATCAAGACACTTTCTACTCACTACCCACAATCTCTGAGTAAAGCCTTCCCCTTATCCCTCTCCCTCGCTCCCTCCTTCTGCTCCCCTCCCCCCTCTTCAAATTATTACTAACCTCCATTTTTATCCCCGAGTAGTCAACTTTCGTATTCGGATAGCAGACCTCATGCACAGATCGCCAATAAAGCGCAGCAACTTCCTTAGCACAGCATTCATCCTGAAACTGGACAACTGTCATTAGTGGGCGGAGCTTATCCATAAAGTCTCAATCAAGCAACTCACCTCATTCACAAAATTATCGAAACAGCATTTACTAAAATCTGTAGTGCTAGCGGGACCAAGTGACTGTTCGTCATCTTCACAGCAAGCATAACGTGCCTAATCAATAGTAAATCGATAAATTGATTAGAATGTTTAAAATTGGCAAAGCTACCTGCAGAAATTTCTGGAAACAACAGAGTTGCGTAGTTTGATTTGAGCATTTCCCTGGTATACACACATCAGTAAGGTAGATACCTTTTTGGCAGCATTTTGATACATTCTCAGGACCCAATTTTTCTTGCTAAAAAATCGATAAGTTTATTTTAGGCGCGAATTTTGAAAATGGGTTTGTGAGTACTGCTATTTAACCTGCTGATAACATATATCATCTGTATAGGCTGAGCAAGGAATATTGTTCTCGGATGCTTGCTCACCGAATTTAGTGAACTTCGATTCTGGTATCCTCTAAATCGATTAATAATCAATATCAAAATCAGCTGGTCAATTGTATTAACCTTAGGATTTCTTGGATCGCTGTGGAAAAATTGTCCTGGTGCTGGAGTTGGCCATAATGGATCAAATGTCGTTGGTGTAGGAATTTGTGTCTAAATATAATCCTTTTTTTTTTGAAACAATGAATCAATACTCTTAGGTCAATTGGTAAGGATCAGTTCTCGGAGCTCGGCGCTTTTTTATTTGCACGCGCGTTGTGTGGAGCTCAAATACCCGTACCTCGGTGTGTGTGTGTGTGTATGTGTGGGTATGTTTGCTCTTATACACAGCACACAGCACAGTTGCACTGACCCGTTCACTGTGCTGTGTGCTGTGTGACGAAAGTCTTCACGAAAAGTAAAGGGAAGAGATTGGAGATGACTTGAGATTAGCGAGTATAGCTAGTGGAGGGATTGAGCTAGTAAAAAAATATAGTTAGGGTTAACTTTTCGTTGCGGGCTGTACTTCTCGTACATTAATATAGCTCTGAGGGTGGGCTACATTTTGCTTTTCCTCAGCCATTTCTAGTGATAAGTACTCCAAAATTTATACCACCACCACATCCTGAGCACTACACCAATTTTACGATTAGGGAAAACAGGAAAA